TAATTTTTTAAGTTTAATTTTTAAAGTTTCACTTTAATTCCAGTTAGTTAATGTACAGTGTTATGTTAGTTTCATGTGTACATTATAGTGATTGAACAATTCCATACATCACCCAGTGCTCATCACAGTGCATTCCTTAATCCTCATGATCTATTTCACCCATCCCCTCACTCACCTCCCGTCTGGTAATCATCAGTTTGTTCTCTATAGTTAAGAGTCTGTTTCTTGGTTTGTCTCTCTTTTATTTTTCCCTTTGTTCTTTTGTTTCTTAAATTCTACGTATGAATGAAATCATATGGTATTTGTCTTTCTCAGACTTCATTATTTCACTTATATCTCATTGTGTTCTTGACTAGTATTTCCCTGATGATAAATGATGTTGAGCATCTTTTCATGTTTCTTTTTTTTAATTTTTAAAAAAATGTTTATTTTTCAGAGAGAGAGAGAGAGAGAGAGACCAAGGGAGGGGCAGAGAGAGAGAGGGAGACATAGAGTCTGTAGCAGGCTCGAGGCTCTGAGCTGTCAGCACAAAGCCCGACATGGAACTCCAACCCACAAACTATGAGATCATGACCAAGCCAAAGTTGGACACTTAACTGACTGAACCACCCAGGCACCCCTTGTCTGCCCATTTCTTAACTGGATTATTTGTTTTTGGGGCATGTTGAGTTTGATAAGTTTTTTAAAATAGATTTTGGATACTAACACTTTATCAGTTATGTGGTTCACAAATATCTTCTCCCATTTTGTTGGTTGCCTTTTAGTTTTGTTGATTGTTTCCTTTGCTTTGCAGAAGTTTTTTATTTTGACGAAGTCCCAGTAGTTCATTTCTGCTTTTGTTTCCCTTGCCTCCAGAGACGTGTCTAGTAAGAAGCTGCTGTGACCTATGTTAAAGGAATTACTACCTGTGTTCTCCTCCAGGATTTTGATGGTTTCCTGTCTCACGTGTAGGTCTTTCATCCATTTTGAATTTACTTCTGTGTGTGGTGTAAGAACGTGGTCCAGTTTGATTCTTCTGCATGTTGCTGTCCAGGTTTCCCAGCACCATTTGTTGAAGAGACTGTCTTTTTTCCACAGGATATCCTTTCCTGTTTTGTCAGATTTGTTGTGTCCTTTTCTGGGTTTTCTATTCTGGCCTATTGATCTATATGTCTGTTTTTGTGCCAGTACCGTAATGTCTTGATCAGAATAGCTTTGTAATATAGCTCTTGAAGTCTAGAATTGTGATGCCTCCAGCTTTGCTTTTCTTTTTCAAAATTTCTTTGGCTATTCAGGGTTTTCTCTAGTTTGACACAAATTATAAGATTGTTCTAGCTCTGTGAAAAATGCTAATGATATTTTGATAGGAATTGCATTGAATGTGTAGATTGCTTTGGGTGATATAGGCATTTTATTTAAAAAAATTTTTTTTTTTACTGTTTTATTTATTTCTAGGAGAGAGAGACAGCGACAGCGTGAGCAGGGGAGGGTCAGAGAGAGAGGGAGTCACAGACTGAAACAGGCTCCAGGCTCTGAGCTGGCAGTCAGCACAGAGCCCGACGCGGGGCTCGAACCCACGAACCACGAGATCATGACCTAAGCAAAAGTCGGATCCTTAACCGACTAAGCCACCCAGGTGCCCCTGATATAGGCATTTTAACAATACTTGTTCTTCTAATCCATTAGCATGGAATGTTTTTCCATTTCCTTGTGTATTCCTCAATTTGTTTTTATCAGTGTTTTACAGTTTTCAGAATGTAGATCTTTTACCTCTTTGGTTAGGTTTATTCCTAGGTATGATAGTTTTTGATGCAAATCTAAATGGGATCGATTCTTTGATTTCTCTTTGTGTTGCTTCATTATTGGTATATAGAAATGCAACAGATTTCTGTGTGTTGATTTTGTATCTTGAAATTTAACTGAATTTGTGTATCAGTTCTAGCAATTTTTTGGTGGAGTCTTTCGGTTTTCTATATAGTGCATCGTGTCATCTGCAAATAGTGAAAATTTGACTTCTTGTTGATTTGGATGCCTTTTATTTCTTTTTGCTGACTGCTGAGACTAGGCCTTCCAGTGCTATGTTAAATAACAAGGGTGAGAGTAGACATTCCTGTCTTGTTCCTGGCCATAGAGGAACAGTTTTCAATTTTTCCCCATTGAGGATGATGTTAGCTGTGGGTTTTTTCATATATGGCCTTTATGATATTGAGGTATGTTCCCTCTTACCCTACTTTGTTGAGGGTTTTTATCAAGAATGGAGGCTGTAATTTCTCAAATGCTTTTTCTGCATCTATTGAGAGGAATATACAGTTCTTTTATTAGTGTGGTGTACCACATTGATTTGCAAATATTGAATCACACTTGCAGCCCAGAAATAAATCCCACTTGATCATGGTGAATGATTCTTTTAGTGTATTGTTGGATTCAATTTACCAGATCTTGTTGAGAATTTTTGTATCCATGTGCATCAGGGATAATGGCCTGCAGTTCTGTTTTTTAGTGGAGTCTTTGTCTAGTTTTAGAATCAGGGTAGTACTGGCTTCATAGAATGAGTTTGGAAATATTACATCCATTTCTGTATTTTGAAATATTTGAGAAGAAGAGGTATTAACTATTCTTTAAATGTTTGGTGGAATTCCTCTGTGAAGCCATCTGGCCCTGGACTTCTGTTTGTTGGGCAATTTGTGATTACTGATCCAATATCTTTGCTGGTTGTCAGTCTGTTCATGTTTTCTGTTTCTTTCTGTTTCAGTTTTGGTCATTTATATGTTTCTAGAAATTTATCCATTTATTCCAGGTTGTTCAATTTGTTGGCATACAGTTTTCCATTATATTCTTTTATAATTGTTTGTACTTCTATGGGTTTGGTGGTTATTTCTCCTCTCTCATTTGCAATTTTATTTACTGGGGTCCTTTCTCTTTTCTTTTTGATAAGTCTTACTAGGTAGGAGTTTATCAATTTTATTCATTTTTTTTTTCAAAGAACCAGCTCTTAGTTTCATTGATCGATTCTACTGTTTTGTTATTGTAGTGTTGCTGGTTCTATCATTTATTTCTGCTCTAATCCTTATTCTTTCCCTCTTCTGCTGGCTTTAGGCTTCATTTGTTGTTCTTTTTCTATCTCCTTTAGGTGTAAGCTTAGATTGTTTGAGATTTTTCTTGCCTCCTGAGGTACGCCTATGTTGCTATATACTTCCCTCTTATGACAGCTTTTGCTGAATCCTAAAGATTTGGGACTGTCATGTTTGCATTTTCATTTGTTTCCATTTTTTTGTATATTCTTTGAATTTCTGGTTGACCCATTCATGTTCTTTAACCTCCCTCTTGACTGAGGGATGGTGTATTTATTTGCCAGGGCTGCTATAACAAAGTGCCACAAACCAAGTGGCTTAAACAACAAAAATATATCATCTCATGGTTCTGGAGGCCAGAAGTCTGAAAGCAAGGTGTCACCAGGGTTAGTTCCTTCTAAGGGCTGTAAGGGATAAACTGTTCCATACCTCTCTTCTACCTTCAGGTGGTTTCCTGGAAAGGTTTGGGGTTCTTTTACTTGTAAAAGCATCACCCTGATCTCTGCCTTGATCTGTACATAGTGTTGTCCTTGTATGTTGTCTGTGTCCAAAATTTCCCTTTTTATAAGGCATCAGTCCCATTGGATTAGGGGCCACCCTACTCTCTTATGACCATATTTTAACAAATTACATATGCAATGGCGCTATTTCCAAATAAGGTCACATTCTCAGGTGCTAGGGGATAGGACTTGAGGGTTTGAATTTTGGGTGGAGGTGTGGGGATGACATAATTCATCCCAAAATATATGTAAAGTTTGAGCGGGGGAGAGCATAGGAAGAGGTGACATGCAGAAACTCATATCAGACTGTCATTCTTTCCTGACCTTTCTGGTTTTTGTCCCCAACTCTTTTCCCATCACCTCTGTTATAACTAAGATAGGGTTCCACTCCTCTAATCTTGAGACATATTTTTTTCCCTGAGAAATGGTAGGACTCTTTCTCAATGCCTGTCTTTTAAAAATGGTTTGTTGTGTATGGTCCCTCCTCCACACTAGCCTCCCAAAATATTTTGAAGAAGTTTGATAATAGGGAACAGGGCTTAAGTTTCTGTTCTTGCGCTGATACCTCTCTTTCTTCCTTCTTCCCAGAGCTAAATGTCCAGTAAGAACTTACTCAAATGTCTTTTAATTGAATTGAATTCAGATGATTTTTTCCCCTCTGCCTGCCTTTAGGAACAAAAAGGAGATTCGTGAGATACAATAATAAATCATCACATTTTATTATTTCTTGTAAACAAAATACTTTCCAGAGGATAGCATTATATTAGAATCAGTGGAAGCAGTGAGTAGAGATAAAATTTCCTTGATAATTTCCCAGAAATGTATGTTTTCAGGTCACTGAAGATTATCTGTAAGAATTGGTCTTGGAAAGGCATAAGGTTTGAAAAACTCTCTTGGCTTGTGAGAGTGACTTAATATGAATGAAAAAAGAAAAGACATTGGTCTGGTTGAATTGAAAATCAGTACATCTCTATTGCAGAATTCTAATAATCTTCTCACTCAAATATTAACAATTTACATATAGTATAATTAACAGTGTCCTTTTGAACTTGCTAGTTTCTTGATATTCAGTTATCCCAATAACACTTTCAAAGTCCTAAGTATAATAATTTTTTTAAATAGTTTATTTATTTTGAGAGAGAGAGCACGAGTAGGGGTAGGGGCAGAGAAAGGGTAAGGGAAATTCCAAGCAGGTTCCATCCCTTTATACTTAGGGATATCTAGGTGGCTCAGTCGGTTAAGCATCTGCCTCTTGATCTCAGTTTGGGTCATGATCTCATAGTTTGTGGGTTCGAGCCCTGTGTTGGGCTCCATGCTGAATGCTTGCTCAGAGCCTGGAACCTACTTCAGAGTCTCCTTCTCTTTCATTCTGCCCCTCCACTGCTTGTGCTCTGTCTCTCAAAAATAATAAATGTAAAAAAAAAATTGTTTTTAAATAATCATCTTTGGATTATTTTTATGATTCAGGATTTTATTTGTGTAATGAAGGTTGTCTCAAGCCAATTCACTTAATGATGGTTGTATGATGAGTAGAGCAAGAGTGATAGGCAGTGTAAGTATGGATCATTAGTTATGTGCATGCACAGACCCTTGAAAGCATGCAAGAGGAAACAAGCAATTATCCATCCCTCAAACTGGGTGAAAGGTAGACTAACCCCCCTTGGGTGGAAACAAACAACAACCAAATCGTCAGGTCTTTGGTGATCACTGTGGTGTTTAATTAGCTCTATTTAAGACTTTTCTACATGTAGCCCTTTCTTTTTATACAAGGTGTAGCAAATCACTTCCTTGTTAATAATGCATGTGTAGATCTTATCTTGGTTGTGTCTGTGTTACAGTCAGTAGTCCAAATCATCAGGGTCACTTCCAGCACTGACTTGTGCCAGCCTTCCACCCTTTTTGTTGCCCTGTTAGCTGCTAAAGTAAGGAATTCAGGCTCCCAATGGCAGTAATTAGATTCATGAGTTATTTATTATCATATATTGCCTCTGAAATCTCTCTCTTCTAAAGTCTAACGTCTTTCTGTCTGGAACTCAGAAGACCTTGAGCTAATAAAATATTAGCTTATAGTTTCCAAACAATTATTTCAACAGATTTAAACATATTTTTTTTCTTTACATACCTAAGCCAAAGGCATTTACTGTGCACAAAACTTGAGAGTGTACACATCACCACTTCACTTAAAGATAGTAAAACCTTTTCATTTCTACATCTAAAGGAACTATCCCCTACAAGATTCTGGCATGATGGGAGGGAAAAATCCATGGAAATGCACTCTGAAGTCAGTATTCCTCATGAAATGGGTATTCCGGATGATCACACCACCTGTCAAAACAATTCACCAAGGAAAAAGTTCACTGCAAATGTTGCACAACTGTATGTGTTACTAGCATCCCTTGACAGTTTCACAGGCCCCTCCTTCTCTCCCTAACTCATTTCCTCTCTGTTTTTCACCCCTTCTATTTTCCCTTGAGCCATCATCTTTTACTGAGGTCATGGACAGCACCCTGGTGTGTGTGTGTGTGTGTGTGTGCGCGCGCGCGCACGCGCGCGCATGCACGCACATGGGCACCTGCCTATGGTTTCTCATGTCCCTTCTCAACTCCTTCCTCCCCTTTGCTGTCACAGGCTGCCTTCTCTTCCAATGATCTACATAAGTATTTCTCCTCAAAATTTTATTACCCATCAATATCACTCTCTTCTCAGAGTTTTTACCTGCCCTTCTCACTAGTCCTCCTGAGAATTGAAAGTTTGAGATCTAGTAAAGTGATCAGTGAAGTAAATTTTTATGATAATAATGTATCCCTTAAATAACAATGATGGAACAGTTAATAAACAAAAGACTGGCAGGTGCGTGTGCCTTCCATAGACCATGTCTAAGATTCAATTCTCTGCAAGTACTAGGAGCTTCATTTTTTATTTTACTTTTTTTTATTTTTATTTTTTATTTTTTTTAAAGTAAGCTTCATGCCCAGCATGGATTCCAACATGGGGCTTGAAATCATGACTGTGAGATCAAGAGTTGGACAATTAACCAACTAAGCCACCCAGGTGCCCCAAGTACTGTGAGCTTTAAATTAAGATATTAATGTCAATGTCAAATCAAAAATCAACTGGATGACAGAGAAGAATCATGGTTTACCATCCTTAAATGGTACATTTTATGATCAATGAAGCCTAATGTTTGTTTTTCTTTGCTGATTTTTCTACTTATTTCCTGATGAATTATTTTCCCGGTGTAGCTGGAGTTATATATTAAATATGTCAAATGTCAAACTAATGTCACCAACTAACTGTAAAAAAAAATCAGTACAGTGGATTGACTATCACTTCTTAATTTAATGATACTTATTCAATAGAAATAGTTTATATACAAGAGCTATTAATTAACCTATAAGTGTTTGTTAGGTCTATGTTGGTGTTTACTATTTTATTCCCAAGGTTAGGTGGTATCTTTTGATGTTGAATAATGTTTTACCCTAGAAAATTCACATTAGGAGGTTGTTGTATTCGTTCAGAAATTGATTTTAAAATGTGGCATTAGCATAGTTAGTGCACTTTCTGACTCACAAAAAATAGTGGGACCAATAAGATAAATGTTGAAATTATATGAACTATCTTAATAAATATTTTCTAAATGCTCACTTAGATTGCTAGCAAGGAATACTAATGAATAAAAGGAAAAAATGTGTATATATAAACATATGTATGGGTGTATATATAAGTGAACTATATATGTATGAACTATATTGTTTTGTTATTTTAAAGACATTATACTATTTAGAGAATAAAGGGCTACTTCAGTTGATTAGCTGAATTTAGTAACGTTTTGAAGGAGTGTAAAGATTTTGCTTGTGGGATATCAGCTAAAAGGAAGAGTTTGAAGCTCCAAATCTTACAGGCAGCCATTTAACTAAAACCCTAGGTTTTTAGTTTCTAACATGGTACTCTTCCCACTATACTATTCAGTTTCTTTCTTTTTTGTTGACAAATTTGCTCTAAATTGTGAATCACTTGATATTTAGGAAAAAATAAATAGGTTTGGATATTTGTGTTGCTGTTGTATTAACATATACACACTTAATGATTTAATTGTCTTCAAGATATTTAGACTGCTATGCCTTAACCTAAGTCATGGGATGTCATAAATGCCAGAAATCTTTTAAATAAAACTGTAGATTTGTAGGAAGTTCCTAGAGCGAATGTAATTTACTCAGACTTCTTTAATATTGAGAACATATTGCCCACTGGCCTTTAACCTTGTGATTTCTACAGACTCAGAACAATCTAAAATCACTGGGCAGTATGTTATGGATGGTCCCCTTGAACTCACATGAGCATCTCCACGAAGCGGACATTTTTATTTAAGGCCTCAATGTCCTTCATTTCTTCTTCGGTGAGAGAAAAGTCAAAGATCTGAAATAACAGAAATAAAAGACATTTTGGAAGATAGAAAATGGGTCAAGCCTGGGATCAGGGAGTGGGGCCAGCAATGGGAGCTCTTCAAAAATTTATGAACATCTTTAAAAGAATTATTCACCATGATCAAGTGGGATTTATTCCTGGGCTGCAAGGGTGGCTCAATATTTGCAAATCAATCAACGTAATACACCACATTAATAAAAGAAAGGGTATGAATCATATGATCCTCTCAATAGATGCAGAAAAAGCATTTGACTAAGTACAACATCCATTCATGATAAAAAAAAAAAAAACCTCGACAAAGTACGGTTAGAAGGAACATACCTCAACATCATAAAGCCATATACAAAAAACCCACACTAATATCATCCTCAAGGGGAAAAAATTGAGAGCTTTTCCCCTATAGTCAGATAAGGATGCCTACTCTCACCACTGTTATTTAACACAGTACTAGAAGTCCTTGCTTCAGCAATAAGGCAATGAAAAGAAATAGAAATCATCCAAATCAGCAAGGAAAGACTTTAAAGATGACTTGATACTCTATACAAAAAACCAGAAAAGTCTCCCCCAAAATTGTTAGCACTAATAGATAAATTTAGTAAAGTCACAGGATTCAAAATCAATGTACAGAAATCTACTGCACTTCTAAATACCAATAATGAAGCAGCATGAAGAGAAATCAAGGGATCAATCCCATTTACAATTGTACCCCAAATCATAAGATTCTTAGGAATAAATCTACCCAAAGAGGTAAAAGATCTATACTCAGAAAACTGTAAAACACTGGTGGAAGAAATTGATGGAGACACAAAGAAATGGAAAAACATTCCATGCTAATGGATTAGAAGAACAAATATTGTTAAAATACATATATCACCCAAAGCAATCTACACATTCAATGCAAGTCCTATCAAAACACCATCAGCATTTTTCATAGAACTAGAACAAACATTCCTAAAATTTGTATGGAACCACAAAAGACCCTAAAATAAGCAAAGTAATTTTGATAAAGAAGACCAAAGCTAGAGGCATCACAATTCTGAACTTTAAGGGCTATATTACAGGAGTGCCTTGGTATGTCAGTCAGTTAAGCTTCTGACTCTAGGTTTTGGCTCAGGTCACGATCTCACAGTTCATGGGTTCAAGCCCTGGATCAGGCTCTGAGCTGACAGTGTGGAGCCTGCTTGGGTTTCTCTCTCTCTCTGACCCTCCTGCTCTCTCCCTCTCAAAATAAACAAAAAAGAGCTATATTACAAAGCTGTTGTGATCAAGACAGTATAGTACTTGCATAAAAGCAGACATATAGATCAGTGGAACAGAATAGAAAACCCAGAAATGGACCCACAATATATGGGCAACCAATCTGACAAAACACAAAATAATACCTAGTAGAAAAAAGATCGTCTTTTCAACAAATGGTATTGGGAAAACTGGACGGCAACATGCAGAAGAATCAAACTGGACCACTTTCTTACACCAAAAGTAAATTCAGAATGGATGAAAGGCCTACATGTGAGACAGGAAACCATCAAAATCCTGGAGGAGAACACAGGCAGGAAACCCTTTGACATTGGGCGTAGTAATTTCTTGCTAGACACATCTCTAGAGGCAAGGTAAACAAAAGCAAAAGTAAACTATTGGGACTTCATCAAAACAAAAACAAAAACTTCTGCACAGCAAAAGAAACGATCAACAAAACTAAAAGGCAATCAACAGAATGGGAGAAGATATTTGCAAATGACATATCTGATCAAGGGTTAGTATCCAAAATCTATAAAGAACTTCTCAAACTCAACACCTCCCCAAAACAAATAATCCAGTTAAGAAATGGGCAGAAGACACGATTTGACCTTTTTCCAAAGAAGACATACAGATGGCTAATGGACACATGAAAAGATGCTCAACATCACTCATTATCAAGGAAATACAAATCAAAACCACATTGAGATACTACCTCATGCTTGTCAGAATGACTAAAATTAACAACAGATGTTGGTGAGGATGAGGAGAAAGGGGAACCTTCTTGCACTGTTGGTGGGAATGCATACTGGTGCAGCCATTTCAGAAAACAGCATAGAGGCTCCTCAAAAAGTTAAAAATAGAACTACCCCTACGACCCAGCAATTGCACTAGTAGGTGTTTATGCAAAGGATAAAAACATACTGATTCAAAGGGGCACATGTACCTTGATGTTTATAGCAGCATTATTAATAAACAGCCCCCCCAAAAAAACCTCCAAAAAACTAAAAACTCTAAGAAAACAAAAACAACAGCCAAATAATGAAAGAGCCTAAATATCCATCAACTGATGAATGGAAAAAGATGTGAGATATGTATAATGGCATATTACTCAGCAATCAAAAAGAACGAAATCTTGCCCTTTGCAACGACCTGGATGGAGCTATAGGGTATTATGCTAAGTGAAATAAGTCAGTCAAAGAAAGACATATACCATATGATGTCACTCATATGTGAAATTTAAGAAAGAAAATAGAGGCACCTGGGTGGCTCACTTGGTGAGTGTCCAACTTCGGCCCAGGTCATGATCTCATAGTTTGTGGGTTCAAGCCCTGTGTTAGGCTCTGTGCTGACAGCCAGCTCAGAGCCTGGAGCCTGTTTCAGATTCTGTGTCTCCCTCTGTCTCTGACCCTCCCCTGCTCACAGTGTCTCTCTCTCTCTCTCTCAGAAATAAATGAAACATTAAAAATTTAAAAAAAAAAAAAAGAAAGAAAATAGCAAAACAGATGACCCTAGGCCAGGGTTGGGGGAGAGGAAGAAAATCAGGAAACAGACTCTTAACTATATAGAACAAATTGAGGGTTGATGGAGGGAGGTGGGGGGGATGGGCTAGATGAGTGATGGGGATTAGGAGGGCACTTATTGGAATACACATTGGGTGTTGTATGTAAGTGAGGAATCCCTAAATTCTACTTCTGAAACCAATATTACACTGTATGTTAGCTAACTAGAATGTTAATTTAAAAATCAATACAAAAATTGTTCATTTGTTTCAGTTCTGTCAGTTGTTTCAATTCTTCATTTCTGTTGAAACTCTGTTATTTAGTGACAAACACATAAAATATTTTTTAAAGTTTTGTTTTGTTTTGTTTTGTTTCTTGAGAGCAGGGAGGGCAGAAAGAGAAAGAGAATCCCAGGCAGGCTCTGTGACGTGAGCACAGAGCCCAGTAAGGGGCTCAGTCTCACAAACTGTGAGATCATGACTTGAGCCGTAATCAAGAGTGGGACACTTAACCAACTGAACCCCCAGGCACCCCAATATATTTTTATGTCAAACAGAAACTTATGACCATCTACAAATGAGAGAGAAGTTGGTCTGGTGCTGGGGGGCCATGCCCAACATGGGGTTCTATTCTTCTCTTTGTCTAGAAATACCCCTGCTGGGGACATCTTGCAGGACATTCCAAATGCTCTGCAGCAACATAGGTTCAGGTTCACTTATCCCAGGAGTGAAGGATGTTTTAATTATTTCTGGATATGATGCTGAACTTCCTATTCTGGACTATGGCCTCTGTGGACGTGTTTTTAAAAATAATCCCTAGCCTCCAAATTTGCTTATTTTTTATAACTTCTAATTTGCTTTGTTTTGGGGCGCCTACATGGCTCAGTTGGTGGGTTCGAGCCCTGTGTCAGGCTCTGTGCTGACAGCTCAGAGACTGGAGCCTGCTTCAGATTCTGTGTCTCCCTCTCTCTCTGCCCCTCCCCTGCTCATGCTCTCTGTCTCTGTCTCTCTGTCTCTCTCAAAAATGAATAAACATTAAAAAAATTTAATTTGCTTTGTTTTATACTCTTAATCATTTCTCTCATCATTTTTAAATGTCCTCTTCTACTTTTTAAATCTATTACATTTTCATTGTTTTTATTTTATCTTAGCTTGCACACTTTATGCTCTGGTTTTATAATTGTCCTTTCTTAACACTTTAATATTTCATTTTAGCTTACTTACCTTCTTAACATTTGTTTTGATTCTAATTATCTTCTACTTTATTGTTTTATCTTGCTATCTCTTAACTTTTATTTTATTTTATTTTATTTATTTTTAAAATTTATTTTTGAGAGAGAGGGAGACAGCATGAGTAGGGGAGGGGCAGAGAGAGAGAAGGAGACAGAATCCGAAGACAGGCTCCAGGCTCTGAGCTGGCTGTCAGCACAGATCCCAACGCGGGGCTCAAACCCACGAACTGTGAGATCACGACCTGAGCTGAAGTCGGATGCTCAACTGACTGAACCACCCAGGCGCCGCCCCCCTCCGTAACTTTTATTTTAGTAATTTATGTTTATAAGTTTTAATTTATATAATAAATATATGATTTTTTGTGAAAATTAAAATGCTACAGAAGTATATGGACATGTATGAAATAAATGAAAGGTCCCCAGTCTGATTCTTCATCCCAGACATTCCTTCCAAACATTCAACACACTAACAGCAAAATGCAGTAATTGTATTGCATCTTTTTGCAGAATAATGCATTGTTCTTTCATTTGTATAATATGTCTTGGTCATCTTTTCTGTCAAAATATATAGATAGACTTTAAGGTAACGACTGCATCCACTATAGATATAACATGATTTACCTAATCATTCCCCCATGGATTACTGCCAAGTGCTCTTTTCAGTAAATGCTTTTCTTTGATTATTTATCATCCGGTATTGAGTTTATGAGACTGTGTAAGGAATCAAAAGTTTGCATAACATAGAAACAGTCATGAATGGACCAATCATTTATAAAATAAATCCTTACTCAAACTTCCTTTTTGCTTAACATTAGGCCTACTTTTTAAGTGTTGCTGAGTCATTTTCTGAAGCCACAGAATATATAATGTAAAGTGAAGTCACAAATCTTGCCAATGATGCAGGATTTCATGAAGTCAGTCAAAGTGATATTGGAGGTTTGCTCTAATTACAGGCAAAATCTTTTTCAAATAGGAATTTGATGCAGTAAAAGCTACTTTGGTAGATAAGAGTGTGATTTGAAAGAAAAAGCCAAAGGATTAATCTCCTTCCTATGAAGCTGTGTGAAATTTTACCAGAATTATTCTCTTTATGATCACTTAGCAAAAATCTTTGTGAAGAATGTGAAGAATGTCACATTCTGTTATCATCTAATTTTGTCAGGCATATTTAAAAATTTTTTTTTAATGTTTGTTTATTTTTAAGAGAAAAAGAGAGAAACAGAGCACAAATTGGGGGAGGGAAGAGAAAGAGGGAGATATAGAATCCAAAGTAGGCTCTAGGCTCTGAGCTGTCAGCACAGAGGCCAACATGGGGCTCAAACCCACAAACTGTGAGGTCATGACCTGAGCCAAAGTCGTTTGCTTAACTGACTGAGCCACCCAGGCGCCCCTGTCAAGCATATTTCTAAAAATCAATACTGGTTCACTCAGTTTCTTCTAACACTTAGTACACATATACAATTGTAATGTAAATTTTATTGAATATAAAATAACTAAAATTACTTCCATAATTTTCAGCTTTAATTTTAAGGTAAACTTCCAAAGTCCTTCTCCCTCCATTATTTCTGTGCAATGTTTTTCTTTATTTTAGGGGGATTGATTTGCATTTTGTTATGGCACAAATTATGCTACGTTATTCACTTATTTAGGATCTCATATTATAAAAACTGAGTGCCTACCCCCTCCATCTGCTTCTCTTACAGTACAAGTTTCAAGAAGGAAAAAGTGTTAATTGTATTAAACGTTGTTGCACAATCTCCTAGGACAAGGTCAGGAAAATGATTATTGGATCTGGCAATGTGGAGGTCACTGGCGACCTTGACAAGCTGTCTCAGTGGAGTGGTCAGGGTGAAAGCTTGGTTTCAATGGGTTCAAGGGTGAGTGGGGGAAAGGGAGTTGGAGCTGTGGTAATAGAATTCTCTTTTAAGGGGTTTGCTGTAAACAGGATGAAATAAAATAAAATAAAAGGATAATACGTGGAGAGGAAAGTGAGTCTAGATTGGATTTTACCTTTTAAGATCGGGTCACAGCATGTTTGTATATTGATGGGAGTTATGCAGCAGAGAGATAATGCGGGGGGAGGGGGTGGTGTTTGAGGAGTAGGAGGGAGTTACTAGGTTTTAAAAACTGCAGTTTCCTAGGAGTAACAGTGGGAATTAGTAACAGCTGAAATATATGGGACAAGATCTTTGTGGGGGAGGAGGTTAAGGAACTGTAACTCAGGGTTATTGGAAGGGCCATCCAAATGTATGTTGAACTCATGAAGAACTGTGACACAAGGAGTGTTGGAGAGAAGGAAAGTGAGTCAAGAGATAAAACCTTCTAGGAATGGGGGTCAGTGGATGATGGCAACAAGGCTGGATAGTGGGTGGTATAATTTGATTTTTTTGTTGTTTAAATGTTAAAAATACCCTGCTTTTTTATTTTGTTCATTCTTGCCTTAATTTTACATAGTTTTTGTTTTTAAGTTTATGGTTTAACTTAATTTTTTATTACATAATTTTCATTTCTATGACTTTTTCTTCTTTCATCGTAAACTTATTTAAGTTTCCCTTTATCCTTTATGTTTTGTGGATATTTACCATTCTCATACTTTTAAAAGCTTATTTTACCTCAGTTTCTTCTCACATTTACTACACATATGCAACTGGAATGCAAATTGTATTGAATATAAAATAACTAAAATTATTTTCATAATTTTCAGCTTATAAGAATATTTTTCTATTTTGTCAAATCTTGGTTTTAATACCCAGAAAAATTTGTGGTTGTAGGGCAAGTCTAAACTGTATAGAGTGGAAATTGGCTGTGAATTCCACTGTCATTTTCCTTGTAAATTTGTATCTCTTTCATGTTTTCTTGTGGTATGTGAACCTCTGAACTCCATTCCCTTATTATCAGGGCTATGGAAACATATGGAATATAACAGAATCAGTTGCAATAAAAATTTTAAGGAGAATAACAGTTCTTTCAGTACAAAATTGTGATTCACTAAATGATGTAAAGTCCAAAGGTTTTAACCTTCCATTGCACAGACTACTAGTAACTACTCTCAATTTCTGAACAGTAAAATGTTGAATCCATGAAAACATTTGTTTCAGGTGCATCAAAACTTGTTTTAATTTTTGATGAACCAATATGTTAGCCATCCAGATATCCTTTTCTTTTAAGATGGCTGAAAACAGTGTCAACCCCTTTTTAGTTAGAAGTACTTTGGTAAGTGTTAAAATACTGTCAGTAGTAGTATAAATGTTTATCACACTTTGACCCTTTTGCTAATAATAGAATCCCTTTTTTCCTTGTATGAACTTCTGTTCTACCACCTAGTAGGGCTATTTGTCAAATGAACCCATTTCCAGTATAGGAATAGGGATGTAGCCCAGGGGGGCAATCAAAGTGTCTTACTCACGGCATGGAGTGATTAATATGAGAGTGATGCATGGCCCAGAAAGGGACAATCATGGATAGAGACTTTCACAGAAGCCTTTACCTATGATCCTGTTCACTGAGTATGAGTAATAGATTAGCTGGGAGATCTCAGGGACTGTTTGTGCCGCCATGTGGAGACAGAGAAGGTAAGGGGTTGCAGGGAGTAGAGAGGAAGGGAGAGAACTCAATCCTTTGAATACCTGTGCCTGGTCATGTCTGATTTATCCATGGAATTTATAGTTATGTGCTCCTATAAATCAAATCTCTCTTTGGCAAGTTTGAGTTGCATTCTGTCACATGGTAGCAAAAGATCTCTGAAGATAAATTGTCTAGTATCATGACTATCTTCCCATGGCAGTACTTCTATTTTCACTCTATTGTTTAAAAATGGCTATATAATGTTTCATTATACACATACATTACAATTTGTTTTACAAGATTCTACTGGAGATTGTTTCCAGATTTTTATTTTAATTTTTTTTAATGTTTTATTTATTTCTAGGAGAGAGAGAGAGAGACAGCGTGAGCAGGGGAGGGTCAGAGAGAGAGGGAGATACAGACTCTGAAACAGGCTCCAGGCTCTGAGCTGGCAGTCAGCACAGAGNTCTGAAACAGGCTCCAGGCTCTGAGCTGGCAGTCAGCACAGAGCCCGACGCGGGGCTCGAACTCACGAACCGCGAGATCATGACCTAAGCGAAAGCCGGACGCTCAACCGACTAAGCCACCCAGGCGCCCCTGTTTCCAGATTTTTAAAACAATAAATCATACTATAGTAAACATCCATGTTTGTGTGAATGTATGTGTAATATAGGATCAAGATTGTTGGGTCAGATGGATATGTGGGTTTGAATTTTGATGGATCTGAAAAAGTGACATCCTGCTTCTCCAAATCCTAAGCCAATTATTGTTTCTTTTTTAAAATTTTTATTTAAAAATTATTTTTTTATAGTTTGTTTATTTTTGAGACAGAGACAGAGCACAAGTGGGAGAAGGTCAGAGAGAGAGAGGGAGACACAGAATCTGAAGCAGGCTCCAGGCTCTGAGCTGTCAGCACAGAACCCGACACTGGGCTTGAACTCACAAACCATGAGATCATGACCTGAGCCGAAGTCAGACACTTAATCGACTGAGCTACTCAGGCACTCCACCAATTAATGTTTCTAACAGAAGTATATGAAGGTGCCTGTTTTTGTACATATTTAATATTCTGATTATTTTCCTATCTGAGAGGATAAATACCATCTCATTTTTATCTTTAACTATGAAAAGACAAAAGCAACTCACTTTCTAAGTTTTAACTGAGGAGTAATTAAGTTTGGATGGTACTTTTCTATGGCTGTATTTACCTAGAAGTTCAGTCCTTTTTTTTTTTTTTAAATGTTTTTAAAATTTATTTCTGAGAGACAGAGAGATAGCATGAACAGGGGAGGTTCAGAGAGAGAGGGAGACACAGAATCTGAAACAGGCTCTAGGCTCTGAGCTGACTGTCAGCACAGAGCCTGACGCAGGACTTGAACCCATGAACCATGAGATCATGACCTGAGCTGAAGTCGGACACTTAACTGACTGAGCCACCCAGGTGCCCCAGTTCAGTCTTGAGTAGTAGCAGAGTAAATGAGTCACTCTTATCTAGTGGCCTCTTGTCTCACCTGTGAGTCACCACACTGATCGTGGATTATTTACAGAGGAAATAAAGGCAAGTGACATTCATGGAGTCTAATGATCCTCTTCAGTCATTTCCAAATTTGTTCTGAACTTTTACCAGAGCGATTAAGAAAGTGGAAAGTTTACTATTAGGAGTTTCAAATTCTATACCTTCTCTTGCTTCTGTGCTGGTGGAGAAGGGAGTACATAGTGCCAAGAGTCAACAGGTAAGGGAGCTAGGTAATGTACAAGTGGCATGGAAGTCCTCAAAGTACTAAGGACTGTCTCAAGTTCAGGTACAGTTAAATTCAGCTCTAGAGAGTGTGGATTGAGGAGCAGGTATAAAAGAAAATACGAAGGCATCGTAATTAACTAAATTAACAGAAAGTTCCCTAAAAAAAAAAACAACCCAAGCCCCAAACAAAAAAACGTGTACTTTTTACATTTACTGAAGTAGTTGTCTTACTTGAAAATTTTCTTTGATCCTTTCAGGGTTAAAGCTTTTAGGAATAACAACCACTCCTCTCTGGATGTTGAAACGCAAAACAACTTGAGCTGCTGTCTTCTTGTACTTTTTCCCCAGTGAGTTTAGAAGTTCATCCTTTAACAAAGGTGGGGATGATACATTCACCCTTGAAAAAAAAAGTCAAAACCTTCATCATATTTAGCTCGAGTCATGCCAGCGGTTGGTTAGTGCATCACCCTCCTCTATCTCCCTATCCACCTGTTCACCTACCAGCCTACTTCAGCTCACCTATAACCAATTTCTTGGAGTGCAGAGCACTCAGTGAAGAGTTGCTGGGTTTTTTTTTTAAGTTTACTTATTTATTTTGAGAGAGAAAGCATGAGCAGGAGAGGGGGCAGAGAGAGAGAGGGAGAGAGAGAATCACAAGCAGGCTCCATACCTCTAGTGTGGAGCCCGACGCAGAGCACAGGCTCACACACTGTGAGATCATGACCTGAGCTGAAATCAAGAGTTGGTTGCTTAACCGGCTGAGCCACTCAAGCACCCTGAAGAGTTGCTTTTAGCAGGAAACGGTCAAGAGGTAAATTTATTGAGCTGCCTATTGAAGAAGGTAAATAGTGCTTCTTTGCTGAGTCTTACAGAGAGTACTGGGTGGGAAGTAGGCACGCAAGGGAAGGCAGGGAAACCAAAGAGGAACAGATGGAGGCACAACTCTTGGAGTTGTCTTTGAGGAGAAAGCTTTCTACTTAAGTCTGTTTAACACATCACACGCCCCACAAGTGCTGCCACTGAGTGCAGAGACCAAACAATTCTCTGGGGCGCCTGGATGGCTCAGTTAGTGAAGCATCCAACTCTTGATTTCAGCTCAGGTCTTGATCTTAGGGTTGTGACTCAAGCTCTGGGTTGGGTGTGTAGCCTACTTAAAAAGAAAAAAAAATCTAGGGGCGCCTGGGTGGCTCAGTTGGTTAAGCATCTGACTTTGGCTCAGGTCATGATATTGTGGTTTGTGAGTTCAAGCCTTGTGTCAAGCTCTGTGCTGACAGCTGAGAGCCTGGAGACTGCTTCAGATTCTGCCCTTCCCCTGCTTGTGCTTTCTCTCTCTCTCTCTCTCTCCTCAAAAATAAACATTTAAGAAAAAAGAAAAGAGGGGCACCTGGGTGGCTCAGTCAGCTAAGTGTCCGACTTCAGCTCAGGTCATGATCTCATGGTCTGTGAGTTTGAGCCCCACCTCGGGCTCTGTGCTGACAGTTCGGAGCCTGGAGTCTGCTTCTGATTCTGTGTCTCCCCTTTCTGCCCCTCCCATGCTTGTGCCTCTGTCTTTCTCTCAAAAGTGAATAAACATTAAAATTTAAAAAAAGGAAAAAAAGAAAAGAAAAAAATCTAAAATTTCAGTATCTGGTCATGGAGTATCTTTGTCAAATAATACCTGAACCAACATCCATTGAGCATTTCCTATGTTTCAGGTACTGTTAGGTAATTTTATACATATAGTATAATTGATTCTTACACCACCTTTGTGAGGAAGGTTTTATTAGCTCCCATTTGTGTATGTAGAGAATGGCTCAAAGAGGGTTAAGTTACTTTCTTAAAATCACAGAGCCAAATAGTCATGTCAGTCAAGCAACTTATATTAGTCTCACATTCTACACCAAAAAGAAACACTCCTGAGCAGACATACAGCATTACTTACCAGGTTGGATTCCTTGAGGTCCCCAAAGGGCTATATGCAGTAATGACAATGCCATGTTCTTGGCAAAATTTCAGGAGTTTGGGCTGAGTAAAATATGGATGGCACTCAACCTACACAGTTGCATTGGAGAGCAGAGCACAAAATTAAAGCCTTGTAGTGAATGCAGTTTTACACTGTTTTTAAAAAGTTCTTCAATAAAGCCCATCTAAAAGTATTATGAATAATGAGGCAAATGCTAAATATTGTTCCCAACAAAGAAGTTTACACTGTTTATTGGGGAGATTAATTAAAACATGGTTAGTGGGTTCACCACCTGTGGATTAATTCCAAAAGGAGTGGGGAGCAAACTCAACTTCCTATAGCCATCATAGTTTAAAACTTTAACTAAACAGACTTAATTCTTTGTAGTGACCATTCCAGCAAATACAATTTTCTATGACAAAAATACAGTCTCAAGGCTCAGATTAGAGTCTTGATAAGTAGAAGTGACATAGTGCTGAAGCCTTCTATCTGTAGCTATCAAAAATCTCAGGATATTTTCACAAGTGGTAGAGCATGTATAAAATGAAATGTAAAGACGTATTTTGTCTTCTTGGCCGAGAGTTCTTTACACTACCCAGTGCAGGCTGACATTCATCTTTAGTATCTTATTGGCAAGATCCCTGCACTAAAAATGTTTGTGTCACAAAGTTCTTCTCAAAGTTTTTTTTTTTTCTTTTTGGCATGGTGATATCTTTTATTTGTTATTTTTTAATATAATACTTTGTTTTTTATAATTTACATCCAAGTTAGTTGGCATATAGTGCAACAATGATTTCAGGAGTAGATTCCTTAATGCCCCTTACCCATTTAGCCCATCCCCCCCTCCCTCAACCCCTCCAACAACCCTCTGTTTGTTCTCTACGTTTAAGAGTCTTTTATGTTTTGCCCCCCTCCCTTTTGTATATTATTTTTGCTTCCTTTCCTTTATATTCATGTGTTTTGTATCTTAAAGTCCTCATATGAGTGAAGTCCTATGATATTTGTCTTTCTCTGACTAATTTCGCTTAGCATAATACCCTCTAGTTCCATCCACATAGTTGCAAATGGCAAGATTTCATTCTTTTTGATTGCCGAGTAATACTCCATTGTATAGATATACCATACCTTCTTTGTCCATTCATCCATCGATGGACATTTGGGCTCTTTCACACTTTGGCTATTGTCGGTAGCGCTGCTATAAACATTGAGGTGCATGTGCTCCTTTGAAACAGCACACCTGTATCCCTTGGATAAATACCTAGTAGTGCAATTGCTGAGTTGTAGGATAGTTCTATTTTTAACTTTTTGAGGAACCTCCACACTGTTTCCCAGGGTGGCTGCACCAGTTTGCATTCCTGCACAAAGTTTCTTTTAACCAGTATGGTACTTTGGGTCCTATGCTTTGCTTTTCTTTTTAAATTAAAATCAACCACGGCTGAATTACAATATTTGAAGTATATAATTATATTTTCACTGTCTGGATTATTGAGTATTTGATGAGCTAGATTTCTAGAAGGCACAGGGACAGGCTACCTATGAGGCTGCAAAGGTGAACTGGGCCTCTCAGTGGTGGATCCTCTTTCCATTCTCTAATTTGATATAATTTTTTGTCCCTGACATCATCTTGTTCCCTTACCCTAAGAAACACTTGTGGGTTTTGTCTCCTTTGGAACATTTCTGAAACAATTTGAAAAAGTAACAGAGAAACGAAAATAAGGCAGGAATCACACTTCTTAGTGTTTCCTTCCAACATCACTAGCAGCTTTTTCATTTCCACTTGTGTCTGTTATTGGTAGACTGGTCTCCCCAAAATATGTATTTCATCATATCACTCACTGCTTATCAACTAAGTATGAATTTCTTAATTTAATGCCCATCTTCTCACTCCAAATACAACGGTTCATTCTCCCCACAGGACTCCTTTCTAATCAGATTGGAGTGCTGTGGCCTGTCTTTGGCCTATTAATGTAGAAGCATATATGTATACCTGTGTGTATGTGTGTGTGTGTTTATATATACATTGAACGGTTTTATAACCTACCCTTTGAGAAAAGATTTCATATGACTTGTGGCAAGAGATATACATAATAAGGCAATTCGAGTTAGAAATAGAAAAAATAGTTATGTGCATATTGAATCTATGACTGAACTGAATCTGTGAACGGAAATTTGGGAATACAGAGTTGCACTAAGTAACATCCTAGAAACATCTACTCAACAAAAACTTTGGAGTTAATATATACACTCAACATAACATAACCTAATTTAATATAAATGTTTGCATAGACAGTTCTTCTTAGAAATGTCTTAATGTGGGGGTTATTTTAGGCCAGCAGATGATCCCTGTTGGGTATGCCGGCACCAGATGCTCAGGTTAGGGTAGAGGGTAGTGATGGTTTCTGATGTCACAGGGCCTTAATGTCAGCATTGCCCTGGAACGTCCTCGTTTCTAAGGAGCAGCATCACTGAGCATACTTTGCTAGGGACTGGTTATGGCCCTGTGTGGATGGGCCAGTGGAGATGCAGTCTTTGCTTCTTGTTGACCCTGTAAAATTGATGTCACTTCTCAGTGTCTTGACATGTGTGGGGTGTTTTTTCAACTCTATTTGGTAGTGCAGGACTTCAGATAGCAAAATCTCACAAAGTGAAGTTAAGCTGGAAAGAACCTATGAAGGAAGACATTAACCCCATCCTCTGTCTTTCTGTAAAAAACTATGCTGAATTTTCCTTTCATTAATTAAGTTACTCAAAAAATATTTCTTGATTCCTAAGTTAGACATCTGTGACTTAGACATGGTGAATAGAGGTAGGAAAACTGAAGAATTTAGGAGATCTTTCTTTTCTCCCCATCTCCCTCCTTCATTTGTTAGTATTAGGTGTATGAAATGAAATGACGAGAGCTAAATCCATGGTCTCCTTTGAATTGGGCTGGGAAAACACTGCATGATAAATTGCCCATCACTGAAGATTTTCAGCGAGACTAAGCCAGGGATGGAGTCTGGGAGACACATTTCTTTAGACAGGCATCCTAGAGAGTACTAGGGAAGCTTGGAATGCTCAGATTCTGAGAATGAGTATAGAGTAAGGTCATATTCTATGTGACTTTGTCCATAAAGTCCATGGAAAAATAGAGAAATCTGCAAATTATACTTTAGATTTTTTCTAATGGGGAAATTAATTTTTGCATATGTGAATTTTGACTTATGCGAGGTCTTCTGGTATGTATCCCTCATAATATAAAATGTGTCCACTCTGTGTAATGCCCGCAGTATGCTCATTGTGAATCTAGAGTACAGGTGGTCCTACTCAGTGCACAGGGTAATGGGGGCTGGCCAGTAGACCTGTGCTTTGATCAGTGCCCAGTGCCATCTCTATAGGATTGATATACTCTGCCTTCAGACACCATAAAACACATGAATAGGCTCAGGCTATGATCTTCCAACATGTCTAGCTTCCCTCACAGGGTATATTTGTGAAGCTGTTCAAGATTCTTGTGCCAACATATCAGCGTATTTACTCTTTGTGAGGAGACACACTGTCAGATTATTCATTTTTCATTCTGAGGTCAAAAATCGCCAACTTTCTTTGTATATTTGTAAGAAGAAATGTGTGTGTCATTTCAGCCTTTTATTTAGTTATGTTTAAATAACAGAGGTTCTACTGTTCACTTTATTCCTAGTACTCTTTTATTTTGTATTATTTTTTAAATATTTTATTTCTGAGAGAGAATCCAAAGCTGGCTCTGTACTGAAGCAACAAGCCCATGTGGGGCTCAAACTCACGAATGTTGAGATTATGACCCGAGCCGAAGTCAGACACTCAACCTACTGAGCCATCCAGTGCCCCGTTTCAGCTTTTTATAACAGAATATTGTTGTTGAGGGTGCAGGAAGGAAATGTGCTGGTGAGGGGTAGGAATTAAGGATATGATTCCCCTTTTCTATTACATTAAAAATGTAATTATCCATTTTTGTTTGCTCTTTTTCCTAATATTTTTAGAGTTTAACATTTTTATACTATTAAATATGTCAGTTTCTTTTATAATTTTCCCATGACTACATTTTCTATATATAGCTCCAGAAAACTAAAATAGTTTTGTAGTATTCACAAATGACTTCCTCTCTCTTCTTTAACTGCTGATCAAAGAGATACTATGAATATGACATGAGGCAAAGATCTATATTTGTCTTTACATAATTAGCCATTTCCCCCATTCTATTTATTGACAAATTCATCCCTTAGCCATTAGTTTGTGTTATTTTTTTATATTATGTTTTTATTATACTTGTGCCTGTTTCTAAGATATTTCTTATTTTCTGTTAATTTGTATGTTGGTTCTTGTACAAATCTTACATTATTTTAGGTACTGTATATCTTATTATCTAGTAGATCTAGTTCCTCCTCATTGTTTTTCATCAAAAAATTTTTTGGGTTATCTTTGCCTGGATTTGAACTTTAAAATCTTTTTGTAAGAGACATATATTGAGAGAAGTCAAAAGACTTGCTCAGGGTCCTATGATAAGATATGTGTAGAGTGACCACAAAATTTCTAACTCCGAGTCCAGGGTTCTTCCTGTTAAGTAAATATTGGAATCTTCCCCTACCCCTCATCCCACCCCCCCCACCTCCCACCATCCTGTCACACTATACCTGGTTGCTGACTGGCTTATGTTTGAGTCCTGGTTTGTTCAAGATGAGTTCCAACTGCCTGCGGTTAAAATTGGACACTCCAAGGGATTTCACCAAGCCAGCATCTTTGCAAGCTTCCAAAGCCTGTTGAATAAAGGCCAATGGGTCAAGAAAAAAGCTTCAAAACAAATGAGATGTTTATGAGGGTGACTATGCATTCTTTAAGAAGGAAAGTCCCTGGATATGGTAATAGGCGTTGTATGAAGAAAAATAAAATTGGGGAAGACAGGGAGGAATTATTTGTTTGGGAAATATTTTACAGCATATCTTCCCCTTGCATTTTCACAATGTATACCAGTACATTAAGAATGATCTTATTTCTCGGGGTGCCTGGGTGGCTTAGTCGGTTAAGCGTCCGACTTTCGCTTGGGTCATGATCTCGCGGTTTGTGGGTTCGAGCCCCGCGTCGGGCTCTGTGCTGACTGCCAGCTCAGAGCCTGGAGCCTGTTTCAGAGTCTGTGACTCCCTCTCTCTCTGACCCTCCCCTGCTCACGCTGTCTCTCTCTCTCTCTCCTAGAAATAAATAAAAAAAAACATTTAAAAAAAAAAAGAATGATCTTATTCTTGAAACCTATTGAGGTTTGCTTTATGGCATGGTACCTGATCCATTTTTATAAATGTCTGCTGTGTGTGAAAATGTGTATTCTCCTATTATTAGATATAAATCTCTTTCTTCTCTTGCTCTGTGTATGTCTCTGTCCCATACATTTTATATATATTAGGTCTAGTTTTTCTGGCTTCTCAATAACTTAAAGGAATATGTTAGAAATCTCCCACTGTATTAGAAAAATTTATCAATGTCTTCTTATAGTTTATCAACCTTTGCTTTATATATTTTGAAGATATTTTAAATGATACATATGTGTTTAAAACTGGTATATCTTTTGGTAAATTGAATATTTTATTATTATGCTATTTGCACTTTCCTATAAATTTTACAATCAACTTTTCAATTTCTTTTGGGATTTTGACTGGGATTGCATTGAATCTATCGATCAGTTTGGGGAAAATTAACATCTTAATATAGTCAGTTTTTCTTTTCTTGTCTTTTAAAAAAATGTTTATTTTTGAGAGAGAGAGAATGAGCAAGAGAGGGCCACAGAGAAAAGAGGGATAGAGAATCTGAAGCAGGCTCTGTGCTGACAGCAGAGAGAGCAGAGAGCCTGATGCAGGGCTTGAACTCACTAATTGTGAGATCATGATCTGCGCCAAAGTGAGACGCTTAGTCAACTGTGCCACCCAGGTGTCCCTATGGTCAGTCTTCTATCAAAGAACATGATATATCTCTTAACTTATTTAGAATTTTTAAAAGTGTTCTCAGTAGTGGTCCTGGCTATCTCAATTGTTAGAGAATGTGACTCTTGATCTTGAGGTTGTGAGTTCAAGCCCCACGTTGGTTATAGAGATTACTTATAAAAATGCTGCTCAGTAATGCATTGTAGTTTTTACTTTGTAAGTCTTGCATTGATTTTGTTAAATTTACCTCTAAATACATAATATTTTTATATTTACTTAATTGTTAAATACTTAATAATTAAATTTTTAATATAGTTGTACATTGCTAACATAAATAGATACAGATTTTATTTTTTGCCTTATAGATTATTTACACGTATGCTTCTTAGTTTCAAAATATTTGATGATTTTTCAGATATATTTTTGTTGATGACTTCAAATTTAATTCCAATTTTATCAGACAGCCTACTTTGCATAAAGAATATTATTAAATGTATTGAGATTTGTTTTATTTCTCAGACCATGGGCAATTTTGTTAAATGTTCCATGTGCACTTGGAAAATAGTATTTTGTTATATTTTGGTGAAGTACTCTATAATTTATAGTCAATTAAATCAAGCTGGTTGATAGTTTAAATATCTTCTAGTCTATAGATTTTCTGTGTACTTACTATCTCAATTATGGAGAGAGAAGTTTTGAAATCTTTGACTATAATTGTAGATTATTCTCTTTCTCTTTTCATTTCTCTTAGCTTATGCTTTATGTATTTTGGAATCTGTTATTAGGTGCGTAGATGTTTAGGATTGATCTCTTCATTATTATAAAACAAACTTCTTTAATCTTGGTAATATATTTTGCTCTGATATCTTTGCTGATATTAAAATAACTACCCCAGTTTTCTTTTGATTACCATCAGCCTCATATATCTTTTTCTATCCTTTTCATTTTTTTCTTAACCTTTTATACTTTTAACCTATTTGTGTCTTTTTATTTAAAATGGGTTTTTTAGGGGTGCCTGGATGGCTCAGCTGGTTAGACATCTGACTCTTGATTTCAGCTCAGGTCATAATCTTACGGTCATTGGATCAAGCACCTCTTTAGGTTCTGTGCTCAGCCTGGAGCCTGCTTAGGATTGTCTCTCTCTCTCCTTCCCTCTCAAAAACTAAATAAAATGGGTTTCTTGCATATAGTATATAGTGGGTCTTTGCTTTTTATCCATTCTGACAACCCCTCCCTTGTAACCGAGTTGTTTAAACTATTTACATATATTGTGATTATTAGTACAACTGAGTTTAAATCTCCCATCTTGCTCTTGGTTTTCTACTTTTTTCCATCCAGTCATTTTCCCTCTTCTTTTCCTGTATTCTCCTCAATTTATTTATTTTTTTGTTCCATTTTTTCTTTATTGGCTTGTTTGCTATACTCTGGAGGTTTTAACTTTTTCTTTTAATGTTTGATATTCTGAAATTTCACTATAATGTATCTTCTCATTTCTCTTTGGTAATCCATGCCCTTTATCTCTTTTTATTTCTCCAAATATTATCTCTTTTTCCTTCTTTCTTTATTTTTCTGAGACTCTTATGGTGTGGACACTGGAAATTCAAATTTTATCCTTTATATCTCTTAAATTTTCTTTCATATTTAAAATTTTTTCTTGGCCTTTTCTTCTTCCTGTTGGGAGACTTCCTTATTCTGATAATTCAATCTGATCATTTTTTCCCTCTGTCTATATCCATTCTTTTTTCATCCCATCAGTTGTATTATTTTTATTTTTCTAATTATCTTTGCTTGGTTTTTTAAAAATGTATTCTTGTTCTTGTTTCTTATTGCTAACATCTTTTCCTATCTCCTTGAATATGTATATATATTTTTTAGATATATTATATATATATTTTATATATAAAATTTGGCTAATTAAAAGTTCTTGGTCCTCTCTTCTGTGTATGTTGGGATCTCTAATTGAGATCTGTTGCTTCTTTGTGAAATAAATGTCTTATAATTTGGGGCTGTGAGCGCATTTTTTCCTGGGGATCCTGGCTATGCTATTAGGCAGTTCCTTGGAGAAGAATACCAGACCCCAAACCTAGTCATCCACAATGAGGTCAGGAAAGAGTATATGATCTCTTGGGCAGAGAGCCCCAGACACCAGAAAACCCAATCTATTCTTCCTCAGTCCTCAAAACAACTCCACAATTCAGATCTTCAGCTCTTACCTATGGTGGGAAGTCTATTAGAAAAAGATACTCATTAGAGTGTAATTTCCCAGCCTTTAGGGTTTGGAATGGGAGAGGCAGGGAAACAACTGCCAGAGGTCAGATAATAATTTATGTTTTTCTCAGCTTCTCACAAGTGCAGAATTTCGGTGCTACTCTGATTTGATTCCTGATGACATCTGAACGTGAGTCTTAAGTTTCTGCATGTGTGGAGCATACAATATTTGTCCCAAGTCTATAGCAGTAGAGAAGTGAGAAAAAAAAAGAACTCTAAGATCCTTTGCTATGTAATCCTCTTACTGTTTGTTGGGTTGACTTCTACACTAGGTAAAAGCTGCCATATTACCTCATAAACAAACTAGTTCAAAATATTGGAATTCCCCCCCCACCCCAACATGAATCCATTCATATTTTCTCATTACTTTCCCCTAGTTAACCTACTCTTATGATCTTGGGGAAGGAGCCAACAGCTTGTTGAGAAATGGAACCAGAATTATTTTTCAGTTTTTCATGTATCATTTTAAGTTTGTTTCTTTTAAACATCATATTATTAATGTTTATAAATTCAATTTGAGAAACTTGAAAAACTTGTGAATTTATCTCATGTGTACATTTTCATTTAGAGTTACATTAGAACTTATTTCCTTTCTTTTTCCTTCTTCACTTCTCTTTTCCTTCTTTGGCATTCTTCTTTCCCATCAAAACAAAATCAAGTATCTTTCAGTGCACAGAAGTAGAGATTTTATACATCTTTGCTTATGGTTAAAATGCCTCTTCTTTTTTTTTAAACATTTTTTTCAATGTTTTTATTTATTTTTATTTCATTTCATTTTATTTTATTAATGTTTATTTTTGAGAGAGAGAGAGAGACTGACCATGAGCAGGGGAGGGGCCGAGAGATGGGGAAACACAGAGTCTGAAGCAGGCTCCAGACTCTGAGCTGTCGGCACAGAGCCCAACACAGGGCTCAAACTCACAGACCACAAGATCATGACCCGAGTCAAAGTCAGACGCTTAACTGACTGACCAACCCAGGTGATCCTCAATGTTTTTATTTTTGAGAGACAGAGGGTGAGTGGGGGAGGGGCAGAGAGAGTGGGAGACACAGAATCCAAAGCAGGCTTCAGGGTCTGAGCTGTCAGCACAGAGCCTGACACTGGGCTCAAACTCATGAACTGTGAAATCATGACCTGAGCCAAAGTCAGACACTTAACCAACTGAGCCACCCAGGGGCCCCCAAAATGTCTGTTCTTTTAACGTTCCATTTGGGAGTAAAGGCTGCATCTCTCCATAAAATGAACAAGAATAGTCAGATCACAGTTTGAAAATGTAGTCTTTTAAGATAAGAGTCCCATTTGAACTTACCTCCCAAGTGGCACACAGATTTGACTTGTGATATAACCATTTGCCATTCTCATCTTTAGGATAGAATTCATCTCCAGGCTACAGAAAAAGAACAAGCATAACTTATTTTATTTATATCTGGACTTAAAATTATGGAATTTGAGTTGTCAGTATACCAGCATACCCTGGGCCTGGGAAAGCAATTGAATTTCAATTATTTATATATCTATATATTATAAATATGACATATTAGTCTCACTATCTCACCCTGACATTCATTTTTCCTTATTGACTGACAGATTATTATTGTTCTGCACCCATGAAATTTTGTCTCTCTTTTTAAATATTTTTATTTTTGAGAGAGAGAGGGAGAGAGTATGTATTTGTGCATGAACTGGGGAAGGGCAGAGAGAGAACGGGACAGAGGATTTGAAGCAGGCTTTGTGCTAACAGCAAGCCAGATACAGGGCTCAAACCCAAGAAACGTGAGATCATGACCTGAGCTGAAGTTGGACACTTAGCCAACTGAGCCACCCACGCACCCCATGAAAATCTGTCTTAATAACAGAATTACTCATAAATAAAGAGTAGAAGCTGAGAATTAGGACTTTCAAGCTTACTCTTTTGACCTAACCCTAATCCTTGCTGAAGTTGAGAACAGCAAATTTCTGACTCTGAGAAGAAGGCAAAGATCATCATTAAGGGTGAAAGGAAATTCTTTTAAAAAAAGTGTAGCTAATGAATGGAATGCTTCCTAAGTATAAGGGAAAACTCAGCATGTTACCTCTCAGTTCTGAATAAACTGCCCAGTGAGTGGTTCTTTTCTTTCCCTTTCTGGGCCTCCAGGAGTTTAGCATCTGTTTTCTACCTCACATATTATCTCAGTATCAAACTCAGTTTTTGGGTGGTCCCTTCCCAACTAAGACTGACTATTGTTTTTCAGATTTCTTCTTTTTCATGATATCTAAAAATGGGACATGTCTATTATGGTCTTGGAAATGGGACTGAGAGAAATAAAAAAGGATTCCTAGGCTCCTTGGCTAGCTGGTGGTAATCATAGGTTAGGCTGGAGGTCAGGCTAACAATCAAGAGTTGTGTTTTGGATAGTTTGCAGTTGAAATGTCACTTAGATATTGAGTGGATATTTGAGGAGGCAATTAAACAGAGAGAAGTCAGCTGCAGACAAATTGGGGCATCCTCAGTATACAAAGTGGTATTCAATCCATGAAACTGATCACCTTTAGAGAAAATGTGGCTCAGTTAAGACAGTATTAAAGTACTGAGCATAATGACATTTGGAGGTTGGCAGAAAAGATGCTATCAAAGCATCTTAAGAGGGTAATATAGAACCATGAGCTGAAAATGTTTAAAGAAAAAGGTAGTAGTCACCTGTGGTGAAAGTGATCAAATAATACTGGAACAAAGTATCTGTTGGATTTGGATGACAGCACGGAAGTCCTTAGACCCTGATAAAAGGAATTCTTTTGTTGAAAATCAAGCAATTGAACAAAATCCATTATATTCTTGAATATTTAAAAAATTTCTTTCTGTTACCCTAATGAAGCTTCTCCCTGGCAATAACATTTTCTCCGTTTGTCCTCTGTAGTGAAGACCATTTCTTCTCAGTTTCTCCTGTCTCACTGAGAACAGGAAAAGGGCTCATTTCACCTCAATGTCCCATAATCATTCATGTTTTGTTTTTTTTTTTTTACAAATAGTTTATTGTCAAGTTAGTTTCCATATAACACCCAGTGCATAATCATTCATGTTAATTGCCCTTGCTATCTCTGATTTCTAAGCCCGTTGACCTTCTCAACACTAAAGACCCACATTTTCATTTCCATCTTTCTCTAAATTTCTTGCCTTTTGCATCTCCATTCTAAAATGGATTTATGCCTCCATTATAAACTCTGTTAAATAATATTTGCTTTCCCAGATTTTAATTAGGCCCCTATCAAGCCTGTACCATGTTAAATATTTCTGATGCCTCCCTGAAGCTTCTACTGTGTCTACCTTACTAATCCATTTGTCCAGATAAACCCTTTGTCTTTGTCCTCTACTTCTGCTCCTTACTGTAAGGCATTGCTGGAAGAATAATTCAACCCTCTAAAAACCTGTGCTATTGAGTCTCATTCCCATTCAGCAGTAACGTCATTCATCTTTTTAAAATGTCTGCTCATGAGTTTTTGTATTTTATTGTTCTAAAATAAATTCTTGATCCCATCTAAGAATAGTAATTGAAATTCTCTATTTACTTTGCCAAAAAGATTTTACAAATCATTGGTCAGCCACCGAGAAGTAAATTTCATTTTCTCACTTTTAGATACAGGCTCTTTCCAAGTGTTTAAAATTTCTCTTAGAAGTCTGCCATTTGATCAAGAGTAAAGTTAGTTGTGTGAGGATGAGGGCTGAGGTTATAACTCCCAAAAGCCTGAAATTTAAAAAAAATCACTGTAGTCCACAGGGTATTGGAACTGTTAGATTTGTGAGGACAAGGCAGGGACAGTGTCATGTAGGGGAGCAAGTATGAGGTTGGCATCAGGGGATTGACCATCTGGTATCTGTTCTAATGGACTTTATTTTTTAATAATTATTATCACTTTTCTCTTTAATGGGCTCTAAACCTGAGTTAGTTAATTCCTTGCTTGAGGCCTCAACTTTCTCTTCTATGAAATGAGGGTATAGGGATATCCTATTACTAAGCTTCTTTTCCAAATGAACATTTCAGAATATTATCTTTTTTAAAAAATTTTTTATTTATTTGTGAGAAAGAGAGAGAGAGAGAAGGGGAGGGTCAGAGAGAGAGGGAGACACAGAATTTGAAACAGGCTCCAGGCTCTGAGCCAGCTGTCAGCACAGAGCCCCATGCGGGGTTCAAACCCATGAACCATGAGATCATGACCTGAGCCAAAGTCGGACACTTAACTGACTGAGCCACCCAGGCATCCCCAGAATATTATCTTTCATTTATTATCAAGAAACTGTCAGACATTGTGCCAGTAATTTCATACATATAAGTTTAATGACTCCTCACAATACTTGTGGAGTTACTATTGTCACCATTTTACTGATAATGAAATTTAAGTTCAGAAAAAAAAGAAATAACAAAAAAGAAAAAAAAGAAAGATCAAAGTGACTACTACTAGTAAGTAATAAAGCTGAGAGTCAATCCCTCTTCTGTATGACTCCAAAGCCCATACAGACTTTTTCCACTGCACCATGTATAGGTGATATGGAAAGAGATCAGGTAATAACTTGACCAAGTCATCTGCCTTGTATATGACACAGCTGAGATTCAAAGTAGGCAGCCCATCCTCCTTACCACTATGATAAGTGACCTCTAATTAATGAGTTCAGTAGAAATCTGTTATTTTGCCATACCTATGCTATCTTCTCTGGAGGAGATTATTCCATGATGTTTGGTTGGGCTGACTAAGCTCTCACTCTTAGCCATAGTGGTCAATCAGTCACTCATTTGGCCCTTATATCAAAGATTAGTCAGTAATGGGTAAATGGCTCAAGCAAGGCCACTCAGTATTTCTCCATGAGGTTTAATGTGTGGTTTCTCTTTCTCTGAATTCTCAAGTGGTGTTGATGATGTAGGCTTGGCATGTTAATGGCCATTCTACCATCACATAGAGAGGGATTTTTGAGAGTGAAGCCAACCAAAACAGAGATAGAGAAAGAGTCATATACATAGTTTGAACTTCTGGAACTAGTTGTGCCTGAATTAGATATCCCTTGTAACTTTTAGCTCCCTTGTTAGCAATTTGAGTTGGATTTCTGCCATTTATAACAGGAGTTCTGACTAATACAAAGATGTAGGGGTATGGCAAGTAATGGGGCATAAATATGAAATTGGCTAGGTCAATATGGGATTGTGGACAGTGAGAAGTCTCCCACCTTCAGCTGAGAATTGGCAATCCTTGCTCTGCAATAGCATGGAATCTGTTAAATTGTTGTTTTGTGCTTGAGATTCAGACAAACGGGCCTACTAAGGCTGGAGCTTTAGAGGACTTCATAGAAAAACACTGAGTATTAGAATTTGTTGGCCATCTTTGCAACCTTAAGGTAGTTCTTGAAGAAAGATGTGTTTGTTTCTACTGGGCTTGTAAGATGAGAGGTAAGATGATATTTTTCTGAAATGAGTACCTTCTGCTTGTGGATGTCACCCAAGATGACAGAAGTTCAGATATGAGCCTTTTGGAGGTAGAAAAGTTAGTGCCAGACAAGGCAAGAAGGTAAGAATCCTACAGAGACGTAATATTGGACTCTGGGAGAATTCTGATTCCCTCTGAAGACAAGATCTCAGGCCACAGATGCTTTAGTGGACAAAGTAGCACCATCCAGTGAGGTAGTTGGAAGGAATACATTAGCTGTGCCTTCCTGTTTTATATTTTTTCAAGCCAGATGGAGGTCAGAAAGCTGAAGATGAGGCCGGTGAGTCAAATAAGGAAGTTCTTTACTAAGAGACAGAAACCATAGACCACATTAGATATAAGAAATGTGACCCTAAAAGATTTCTAGTTTTAATTGCTAATTCATGTTTGACTGAATGTGGATTTACTGAAAGCCTATCAACATTTTATGGGATATTGTATTGTCCATGAAATCTCAACCTGACCAATAAAAGCCTATGATTACCAAGGCCATTGTGAAGCCTCCAAACCTATATCTGTATGAAGCAGGATGCAAAAGGGTAATCTTCCCCAAAGCCCATCTTGGATATGATCACAGAGGAGAACCAACAAGGAAAGTGTTTCCAGAGAACAGAATAGGGGTGCCAGCTTGGCTGCATAATGGAATTCTGGCCACTGTAATAGCAGAGTCTTTGTTCTTCCTGACGAGCAACAGGATCTGATTTACTTTGTGGACAAATGGTCAATTTTGTTTTTCAATCTCTTCTGCCCTCAATGAAATTTTAAAGCAGTGATTGCTTTTTAGCAGTGCATAAACAGTGTGTTGTTGTTGATTAAATTAACAAGTCCATAGATTGAGAAGTTTCCAAGAAGGAGTGAATGTGAAATACAGGAATAGATATCACATAGACACCCTGACCTTGGCTCTGGCTCCAAAATCCTGACTGTTCTTTGGGTTATTTCTTTTTGGAGAGGGTGGAGGATGAGTAAGTTTTCAGTTATATATATTATTTTGCATGTTATGCAGGGACATTTTCATGACTGTGTGAACAGTAAGGAGGGTGTGTCTGAATGCCAGGTGACTGCAAGTTGAGTATAGTTAGGGAACTACATGTTGGTTTGATGGAGACAGTTTAAACTATAGTTGTAAAGACAAGATATAATAGAAAGTGCATTAGATTCTGAATCAAGAAACTTGGGATCCAGGCCTGAATCTGTTACACAAAATCTTTGTAGGCATTTGTTTGGTTGGTCAGTACTCTCTGATCAATAGTAACAAAACACCTTAACATTCTAAGGTATTGAGTAATGAAGTAGCTTCATAACTTCATGAGCACTGCTGCTGACTCATGGTTGCCAAAGGGCAGAGAACTGACATTTAGGCATCTAAACTCACCTTGAAAGCCATGGGTATTTCAATGATGTAAAGATCCACATAATCTAGCTGGAGGACATTAAGTGTTTTCTCCAGGGTTGGACGGACCATCTCAGGGTCATGCCTGGTAGCCCACAGCTGAAAGAATAAAAATGGGATAGTTAACTAACATCCACACTTTTTTTTTTTTTTTTTACAGTAATGCAGCCCTTGATCCACAGCACTCATATACATGATTTACTTATTTCATTTTATAAAAATACATTTATGCTGTGGTGTCATCTGGGTATAGGATGAGTTCATGTAACTCTTGACAACGGGAGTTTGTCCAAATATAGTACCAGAGACTTGAAGATCCACCTGAACCACAGAGGACATAGTTTGGTGACAAAGTCTTGCCCTGCTCCCTGCTAACTTCAGAATTGACCCTTAGCACTGTCACTTTTCCCCAATGGGTAGGTAGGGAACATGTATCTGACTAGCTGTTTGGGCTAAGTGCTTTATTTTCATGACACTCTGATAAAAGGTGTGCTTTAGCTGAGCAAGAAATATGGTTGCGCGAGTGACTTCACTGGATCTTTCACATTGTGATAGGTGGTGTGGAAGATGGTGAAACCTTTCTTTGTTTCTTTCCTTCTTTCCTTCCTTCCTTCCTTCCTTCCTTCCTTCCTTCCTTCCTTCCTTCCTTCCTTCCTTCCTTCTTTCTTTCTTTCTTTCTTTCTTTCTTTCTTTCTTTCTTCTCTTTCTTTCTTTCTTTCTTTCTTTCTTTCTTTCTTTCTTTCTTTCTTTCTGAGACAGCATGCATGGGAGTGGGGGGAGGGGCAGAGAGAGAGGAGACAGAGAATCTCAAGCAAGGCTCCACACTGTCAATGCAGCATGGCCCAACCTGGGGCTTAATCTCATGAACTGTGAGATCAGGAACCCAAAACCAAGGGTCACATGCTTGTCAGACTGAGGCATTCAGGTGCCCCAAAACTTTAAATTATCGTAACTGTTTTGGTTTCCTTTTTCTGCTCCTTCATTTTCATTTGGTCATATTTAGGCCCCAGGGTAATTCTGCCAACTCCTACTAAGAAATTACCGGCTTTCCAGCTAAGTTCAGGTGGAGGAAACCTAGCCTCATCCCCTAATAAAAGTCAATAATTAGACAGCCATCTGCAGATGAAAAGGGGGAGATGTTGTCAAACAGTACCAACTTCCAGATATAAGATGAACAAATTCTGGGGATCTAATGTAAAGCTTAGTGATTGTAGTTAATACTACTATATTGTATACTTGAACGTTGTTAAGAGTATAGATCTTAAATGTCCTCACCACAAAAAGGAAATGGTAATTATGTGCTATGATGGAGGTATTAGCTAAAACTATGTTGGTAATCATTTTGCAACACATAAGTGTATCTATATACACCTTGAGTTTACAAAATGTCATATGTCAATTATATCTCAATAAAGCTGGAAAAAAGAAATAAAATAAACTTAACAAAAAGAAAGAAAGAAAATGAAATTACTCAATCTCTAAAGTATTAGGTAATGAAAGATTAAGGCTTAGGTTATCAAACTGGAGCACGTGTAACCTTGCGATCTATAAAACATAGGGTGCTGAGGGGTCCTCAGAGTCTTGGGATAAATTAATACATCTTCTTGGAGCATCAAATTTGTTCAAAGTGTTTTTGGGAAATTTTTCCTTATAATTTCTATACCCTTCTTGTCACAAGTAAGGGCAAAGAAAGTTGGTAATATTTGATTTTTCTCTCTGTGGACAATAATTTTTTTCTTGCCTTAAATGCATAAAGAAGAGAAGACAATGTGGAAGGAGTAGTGGAAAAATGTGTTTTTGTTAATACTCTGGGACCCTTCGGTGTGTTATCACTGCCAACCTATCTAACTGGATATTCTGTTTGATACATTTTAATTTATTTTTATTCAGTAAACACATAGAGTCCTAGCTCTCGGCCAGGTACTGTTTAAGTGCTCTGTAAATGTTAATTCACAGCAACTCTGTGAAGTAGATGACTTAATTTTGTTCAATTTTTCTAACACAACAGATATGGCAACAGCTTTAACTGTTTACCAAGGAGATAATAAGAAAAGTTTTTTGGTTTATTTTTCTTGGTGGTAACTTGAAACCTCATTTTTACACTGAAGCAAAATGAAACAAATAAGAAAATATTGTGGGGAAAAAGGCAAAAGTCTAAAAACAAATTTAGGAAAAGACATAAATCTTCAAAAATACTTCTGCCTTTGGACAGGTTGCTTGGCCCAAGTTCTCAGGATAGGAGTTCAACAAATCCTTCCCCAAAAACATTTTGGGAGCACCAGGTTAAGTTTTGATGTTTACTCCAAAGAGAGACTGTGTAATAATAAAATCTTAAGGGATCAAAATTGTAAAGCTATAATAAAGTAAACAGCTTCAGGCTGATATTTTGGGACAGTGGCTGTATGTCGCCCCTTGGACTCATAATCTATAAGTAGCAGGGGATTTGGGGAACCACAAACTCCCAGAGAGCTTGGCAAGGAGCCTGGGTGGGGAGCTGGGAGGAGGGGGTGTCTGAGGAGTGGATGAAGTCAGAAGCAGCATCTTGTTCCCCTTTAGAACACTCAGGAGAAGTGTATTACACTGTCTCCAAAGTTGTACAGCTTAATTCCTGCAAAGCTCCCTGAAAATATACATCGTATATTTCCACTGGTTTTCATTTTAATCATGATGTTTTATCTTTTGGATTGCTCTTTGGTGAATAGTGATTTCTAACACTGGAAATTTCAAATGTGCAGAAGGTAGTGGTGATATAAACAAAATGTCATATATCCACACAATAGAGTATTATTTGGCCATAAAAGAGAAATGAAATTCTCATACATGCTATGAACAAACCTAGAAAATGTTATACTAAGTGAAAGAAGCTAGACACAAAAGGCCACAGAGCATATGATTCGATTTATGTGAAATGTCCAGAATAGGAAACCTATAAAGACAGAAAGATCAGTGGTTGTCAGGGACTGAAAGAGAGGAGAAAATGGGGGCAACTACTGGTGGGTATGGAACTCTTTTGGAGTGATGTAAGTATTCTGAAATTAGGTAGTAGTGATGGTTATGAGACTTTGTAAATACATTAAAGCCAGTAATTTAACTTGATGAACCTAATGGTATGTGAATTATTGCTCAATAAACAAATTCGTGATCTTTGGACAAATAGGCATACACAAAAGCAAAAGAAGACTGCCCTTTTAAAGAAAGGTTTGGCAAATGATTATTTAATATGAACCACCTCCTCCCTTCCCTCCACTTCCCAATTTTTCTGCTTTGTAGATTTGGTTCTTCCCATATTGTCTTAAATCATGCCCATGTATGAAGAAGGAAATTTGCCCTAACCTTCAAGGGGCTAATTAGTCCCTAACCTTCTGGGAAAGACTGAGCAATTGGGAGTGGAGAACTCACTCCTCTTGTCGAGCCCAATGTTTTTTTTTTTTTTAACAGAGAAAAGTGACACCAGATGAACTATTAATATAAGGAGTTGGAGGGTGAAGAGAAGATCTCACCTTTCCACAGTAGAAAATATCCTCCCTCCGCACCTTTCCTTCTGCTATCTTCTCCCTGATGGCCTCCCCTACTTCATGTTCATTCTGATAGATGTAGGCCCCATCAATGTGACGGTAGCCTGTGTCAATGGCAATCTTCACAGAATTCTTACAGGTTCCCTTAGGAGTCTGAAATGACAAGTGGGTTGGAGTGGGGGAAAAGAGAAATGGGTCTTTAATCATTCTTGATCAGGACACTGTACACATAGACATTTTACAACAAAAATGACAAATTCCCAATTACATGCTGTTGTGATTGGAAGATGGTGTCGGAGGCTGAGGAAACTGACCTCATAGGGAGCTTCCTTCTCATCCTCATTGGGGTACTCCCTTCATCCCAAGTCTGTCCTAGCTTTGTGGTCTCAGAAAAGTAATTGATCAGTTTTACCAGTGACAAGAGATTTCACAATAGCTATGTTATAGGAGGCCACAAGTTCATTGAAGAAGGTTTAATTACAAATCAACGTTTTGGGTAAACAAACTGAGAATATATCAACAGAATGGAATGTCACTCAATAATAAAAAGGAATGAAGTACTGATACAGCAACATGCATAAATATCAAGACAATTATACTAAGTGAAAGAAGTCAGACAAAAAATAAATACATTATGATTCCATTTATATAAAATGTCAACAAATGAAAACTAATGTATAGTTCAGATACAGATCAGTAATTGTCTGGGGTGGGGGATGGGGGGGCAGGCATGGGTGGCACGGAAGGATTACAAAAGAATGCAAGAAAACTTTTGTGGTGATGGATATATTCACCATCTTGACTGTAGTTATGGCTTCATGAGTGTATACATGAGTCAAAGTCATCAAATTGTATACTTTAAAATATGTACAGTTTGTTGTATGTCAATTATTCCTCAATAAAGCTGGGAAAAAAGACAGTTTGGGAGGGTGTTAGATTTTTTCAAGATATATTTTTATCAAATTTGGTAGCCAAACCTCTGTTTATTGTATTAACCTGTATGAAGTATAAGAATAAGAATATCCTCTCCCCTGAACATTGATAGAATCAAAAGACCTGACAAACTCCTGACACTGGAAATATAAGTTATCCATTTTCCAGATTGCACATAAGTCACTGTTCTTTAGTTTTGGTGACATTTTATTTTATTTTTTTAATGTTTTATTTATTTTTCAGAGAAAGAGAGAGAGAGCCTGTACACAGGTGCATGAGCAAGTGGGGGAGGGGCAGAATGAGAGGGAGACACAGAATCTGAAGCAGGCTCCAGACTCTGAGCTGTCAGCACAGAGCCCGACGTGGGGTTCGAACTCACCAACTGTGAGGTCATGACCTGAGCCAAAGTTGGAGCTTAACTGGCTGAGCCACCCAGCTGCCCTAAGTTATGGTGACTTTCCATGAGCGTGTCTCACTTTAGTTCAATTTTTTCTTAAGGAGAAATGAAAGCCTTGATGGATATTTTCATCAAGACAATCATCTAGTCTCATTGAATACAATTTTCAAATCATCTTTTAGGTTATGTGTGGAAAAGAGGTTTAATCCTGTTTGCAGCTTTGTATTGACCTCATGTTCAGATGGTGATCATTCTGATCTTCACAAATGTTGAGAACTACTTGTCCTTGCTTCTATATCTTCAGTGTTCTAACCAAATACTTGACAAATCTCAACACTTGTGAGTTCTGGCCCACAGAATTTGATTTATTGAGAATGAGTGAGACAAGAAATACCTTGTATTGCTAGTGACTTTATAGTCCTGTGCTGGAAATAAAAAGCACTGGTAGCCTAAATTGTATTTTCTTTCCCTACCTCAGTTCGCTATTGGGAGGATAAGAGGATATGAAAAATGAACAAATTGGCTACACAGATGGTATTAGAAAATAAGATTCATAGTCACAAATTTCAAATAGCTGGGAAAAGAGACACACATTCCAGGAATATGAGAAATACCTCTTTGGTTAATTAATTGGCAACATGATTAACAGGATTGAATATAAATTTAGGCAAGAAAACCCACCCAGAAAACACCCCATAAAATGAGATGTTATGGATGACAGCAAGCGTGACAACAAAAAGTACACCGGAAGAGAAAGCTTGGGGTAGAATCCAGAAGTTGAAGGGAAAAAATAAAAAATACTGCTTCCATTATCAGGTATATACCTAGTATAAAAGAATAAAGTTTAATATGAGATGGTAAATATAATCTCAGAAATAGCACTGAGATTTTGTGGCTGGAACTGAAAAATGTAAGCCTAGAACCCAAGGAGATTTACTAAAAAGGAAAAAAAAAACCCAACCAATGCATATTAAAGTATAAACTTAAATTTTCAAAGATCAACAGGGGTTGAACAGGGAGAGCATTTAGGATAAAGAAAATGAGAAAGACGAGGACTAAGGAGTGTGGTACTGACCATTAGCCTGATGTAATATACAAATGATGCTTTATTTCATAAACACATGGCACAGAAGCAAGTTATAGTAGTGAGAGCCTTCAGTGATTCAGCTCCCATTAAAGTGCCTTTTCTAAAAACTGAATATCTGGTGTGGGAAATCAAATAGCTATATCCTGTGTTAGGAGATTATAGGGAATGCACTGCAAAGTAGAACACTGCTTTCTGACCTTGTTGAAAACAGCGGGGCGGGCCAGTATTTAGCTAATGTATATCTAGAGTCCTTTCTGTGCTCTTAAATTCCTTAGACCGTGTTATCTATGGAATATCTTATCTTGTTCTCCACCCTGCTTTCTGCATCTACTCTTTTGTAGCCTTGGGAATCCCTTGTTTTTCTGCACGCTTTCTATAGCTTTCTATATGTTCTTATGTATGCTTAATAAATACGGGAGCTTGAGAACAGCTTGGAGAGACTTCCCTTAGCCTCCCTCTCACCTCTCTTGACCTGTGGAGTCTTGTGTAATCCTTTCTGCCCTCCGCAGCTTCGCTGGACAAAGCTGAAAGCCAAACCCACAATCTGGTAGAATCTTTGCTCCCTAAAAATATTGTCCTTCAGATGGTAGAAGCAGCAATGAGTTGCATTACTCTTTTGGACTCAATTCTAATCAATATGGAGGAACTAGTTGGAAGTCTGGATGTGAGAAAAATGCTTCTTTATAATTCTTAAGTGTAGCATAAGAGAACTGTATGTACATTCTGGCAGATTCCTTAGGAAAATTCACTTTAGGGAGAACACAGATCAAATAGAATACCATATTTGGAGACTCAAATAAATGATATGATAGGAGAATCTAAAATGCAAATTTTGACTCCAAAATTAAGGATGATAACAGTGAAATAAAGAATTCTATTTCTTAAAATGGCCAACAGAACCATTCCGCATTTAGGAAAGGAGAGTCCTATATGGATGCAGTGCCATCCTCCAAGAGGTGACATATACCCTAGGTCAACATCCATAATACGATGTTATGTCCCCAATAAATAGAATACATGAGTCTGAAAACACAGTAGGAGTGATTCAGCTCAGCATTACCCTCTTTGACTCACTTAGAAAATGTGTGCTTCTCATCTCTGAATCTTAGGCTCAGTGGATCCTAGTTCCCAGGGCAACCCAAGAGCCTCCTTATTTCAAGAGTTCAGCATTTGAGAAAAATGCCATACTGGCAGGGGTAAGTGACCTTATCACAGGAGGAAGCAGGGCTCCTTCACTGTTACACGACAAGCCAGGGAGGAAAATGTCGGCCGCTTAGGCCACCCAATGACATATCCCTTGCCAAATTTGATAGTTAATCAATAAGACCAGTGGCCATGATCTAAGTTGACCAGGGACTCAGACAACTCAGAGTTGAGAATCTGGGTTAGAACATCTCGTCAGTCACCTAGACCAGAAGAGATGTTAGTAATGGATGCAAAAAATTTAGAACAGGTAGTCCAGGAAGGAGAGGAGATAAGTTGCAACTTGAAGTCCTCTGTAGTGGCAGGAGCTATTTCATCCTGCCAATCTACCTCTTTAAAAACTTTTCCAGGAGAGAGACCAAACACAAGTCTGGAAGAGCTTTTCTCAGGGGTGAACTTAGCCTACAAAGCCAGTAGGTTTTGGCATCGGGGGAAGACTGTAGTGGCTGTTGTGGTGTACCACAGGACCGAAGAATCCATTTGCTCTGCCGCCAGCAATGTCGGCTGCCAGTTACTCACATCTGAATCCCACTATGACTCATACAGGGCATACAGCATGCTGTCTCACCTCAACTTAGCACAACTTTGTAGCACCATTCCAGAGCTCCCTGTGGGGTGAATCCCAGTTGTGACTGGATCACAGTGCGACTAGCCTCATTGCACAGACCTGGTTTTCTCACTTCCTTACAGTCTGATTCCTGAGAGCACTCCTCCCTGAGCCCTCTGCATGCAAATCCCCTTCTCAGAGGCTGTTCTCCATGGTGCCCAACCTAAGACATTAGAATACAGAAGAATTTCTTAAGCTGCAGAGAGTACTAATGATACATGAAGAGTGATAAATGTGACCACATTAAAATCGAGAAACTCTGCTCATCAAGACACCATTAAAAGTAAAAGGATAAATGGGAAGGGATATTTTCATATAGATGTAACTCACAAAGGACTCGTTTTCAGATATTTTACAAATCCGGCATCAATAAGAGGAGAAATCCAATAAAGAAAAATGCATAGAAGGCATAGCCACTTTGCAAAAGATATCAAAATGTTTCATAAAAATATGGAAAACTAGCTAATTTCATCTATAGTAAAGGAAATGGAAATTAAACCACAATGAGAGATTATTCCACACTTACTAGAACTGCATAAATTAAAAAGACACCAAATATTGGTGAGAATGTGAAGCAGGGGTACCCTCATACATTGCTAGAGAGAGTGCAAATTATATAAATACCTTGGAAATGATCTACATTGACATCATGCCCTTCCAGCTCAGGACAGAATGGACTTGATGTTTCAGGCTCTTCCTTCGTCCTCATCAAGGGCTTGGACTTTACCTCTCCTTTGCCCCAGATACAAAGCCTTTGGCTCACTCTCCAGACTGTGAAAACTGCTTGCAGCTATAGAAATCTTAACTAGGGCCACACAGGAAGGAATATTGGGTCAGTTAGACCCCCAATCTACTTCATAGACCACTCCTTCCCCATAAGTTGATGATTCTTGATATACTCCCTAACTAGAATTTGCTCATTGCTA